CATGCATCCATGTGATTCTCTGAGTAGAAAAAACAAGAAACTCTTTCTTTCTTGAAAACTTCTGTATTTCTCATTCTTGTGTACTCTCTTTTTCTTGGAGCTTGGACATAGCCCTCACTTCGCAAAGACTTCTGGGTATCCAAATGAAATAGGGATAGCGATGAAGAAATAAAGACAGGCAATGCTAAGGAAGTATGCAAAGGCCATGATAGATGAAACCAAGAAGACAGCTGCAGCAACTATGGAAAACCAAGAGTAGATGAGGTTAAAAGCCTATGATCATGAGGGACCCAGGATGAGAAAAACTCTGCAACTTGACTAAACTATTGTTTCGAAACTTCCTGAACAGCTCGACTCATATCAGCTTCAAGATGTAAAGGCGGAGTGACTGTTTGAAACGGATGACTTCAGCCTACCTCGAGTCTCCTTGAAATTACCTTGCTTGACGTCAAGAATACACTGGAGCCCTTTCACGATGTTAGCATCATGCACTAAGGATTGTTGACCTTGTCACATATTTCTTGGGACGTAAATGAACAAGACCCCTTATCTTTTTTATAAATAGAGGTTTCTTGCTCAATCTTAAACTCTTGTGACCCATAGTTATCTCAAAGTGCCTGTTCCTTCTTTTCTATCTGACTTATTAGCATGATTTCTTGCATTCTGGCAAGACTTCTAGCTTCTTGCATCGTTCTTGGTTTGAAGAGACGCACTGGTTCTACAAGTTCTGGTTTAAGCCCAGCCACATGCGCAGAAACCAAATATTTTTCTTGTAATTTTAACTTGATGGTGTGGCAGTCAAAGAATTCATTGAATTCTTTCACAATCCCCCGCTGACAAAGCCACATCCAGTGCTCATCCTCATATTCTTGGAATGAATGGTGTACTATGGCCGAGGATGACCGGCTCTGATACCACTGATGCATATGAATTAGAGAAAAGGGAAGGAAAGAGAGAAGATAGAGAAAACAAAGAGAGAAAGAGACTAGAGAGAGGAAGATAGAAACAGGGAACTCAAGACTATTATTTTCAAAACTGATTTTCTAAAACTCATTACAATGGTCTTTTTGATGTCCTTTTATAGCCCATACCTAACACCCTTAAGTAACTATCCTAACAACCTATTAACCGTTTAACTAATATTATTTATTTATTTATTATATAACAAAATTCCACTGTAGAGATATGAAGTTCACCAACTTCAATTGTCACTCATACGAAGAAAAGAATTTAGAAATGATTCTTCAACCAATAGGCCAGAAGGGCGCGAACAATCCCTTTTAGAACTGGACTTCAAGGAATCTGCACACACTTGCATAAATTCCACCATATAATAACCAAAACACGTAAATGAAAATAGCAAGAAACCACAGCCTAAATGTATCATCAAGGGGAGGAGAGCAATACGATTCCTAAAAGATGTTTCCACTATTAGTCTTTTTAAATGAAAAAGACATGTTATAGATGTTTCCTCCAACATCAGACATAGAAATTAATACAAAGAAATGAGCTAGCAGTTCAAGGAGAAGAGGCAGAGTCAACTTCAACATGTTAGAAAAAATATTACAAGAAAATTAATACAGGAAAAAAGTTATTAATGCAAGAAAAATACATGTTTAAATCAGTCAGAAAACAAGAATCAAACTTCAGTGTGCTATTTTATTAAGTTTTCATAAGAATTATACACTGCCACCAATCAGAATACGCTCCATCACTCATAAATGCTACATTTCTGAAACTAAAACAATTACATTCTGGAAAAAGAATGAGAGAAGAATAGTTTGTTTGATATTGGTTACAGTGGCCAGAAATGATCTCCACCAATGACAAAACTTCTTCAGTGTAAGAAACAATATTCCCCCTCACATGGCATCATCGAGACATGCCAGATACGGTATGATCGTGCAACGAAGACAAACACTAAAGGGCAATCACAAAAATCACAGTGAACAAGAATTCAATGTTCCTACCACACACAGCTAAAAGAAACCATCAACCAGCAGCTTTCTTCCCACCAGAATAGTAATTGAGGTGCCACCGAACAAATTTCTTCAAACCAGTCTGTATATCAGTAGAAGGCTTATAACCCAGCTCTCTCTGAGCCAAGCTAATGTTCGCATGAGTAAACTGCACATCACCATTTCGTGGCAGCTTCATTATGTTTCGCTTCGCCTTCACCTTCAAGAGCCTCTCCAAAATGCTCACAAGTTCTGTAACTGGCACAGGTGAAGTATTCCCTAAATTGAAAACCCTCAATTGAGCCGGGCCTCTCTTCTTCCCACCACTTCCCGTGCTCTTCTCTGCAGTATCCAATGCTCCCAAGCAACCCCTCACAATGTCATCAATGTATGTAAAATCCCGTGCAACTGTGCCATGATTAGGAGCTTCAAATATGGAAATCGACTTCCCTTTCAAAATATCTCTTGTGAAAAAGAAGTAGGCCATATCAGGCCTACCCCAAGGTCCGTAGACAGTAAAGAATCGCAATCCTGTCAAGGAAAGGCCATATATATGATTATATGTATGAGCAATTTCTTCCCCAGCCTTCTTAGTTGCAGCATACAGGCTAGCAGGCTGGTCAGTTCTATCTCTTTCCGAGAAGGGTACCTTCGTATTAAGCCCATAAACAGAGCTAGATGATGCCCACACTATAGCAGGTTGAGGGTTCACTGATTTACAAACTTCAAGTAGATTGACAAAACCTGCAACATTACTATGCACATAGGATCCAGGATTTTCCATTGCATACCTCACACCAGCTTGAGCAGCCAGATGCATCACATGGGTAAATGGTACAACCTCGAATAGCTTCTTAAGAAGCGCTGAATCGTTGATATCACCTTCTACAATGTACACACCGTTGCGTTCTAAAAGAGCTTGGCGAGCACGTTTCAGAGAAGGATCATAGTAATCGTTGAAATTGTCAAGGCCAAGCACACCATCACCCCTGCGTTTGAGAGCTGCCAAGACATGGGTTCCGACAAATCCTGCGGCTCCGGTGACCAGCACTGATATCCCATTTCGAGACCTCACTTTCGCAGAAGAACGAAGCCGTTTCTCCCATGCGGAACCACCCCACCCGCTCGTTCTCAGGGAACGGCGAGATGGATCTGAAGGCAGCGACTCCGATGGAGGCGATCGGGAAAAAAAGATAAAGATCAGACCAAAGAACACGAAAGACCAAAATGTGAGCTTCGCGAGAGAGGAATGCCATCGAACCCTATGAAAATAGGGGGACTTCTCCACCTTGAATTTTCCAGGAGTGGAGGGAGGATCATCTAAATGTGACATTTATGCAAAATCTCAAAGGAAACAAGCACACTCTACTCTTCTTTGTCCTATTTCCTTAAAAGGAGGACGAAATGTTCTAGTTCATGCTTCAGAAAAACGTTAGGCTTAGGGTTTCAGAAACTGGGATTCTTGAGGAATACTGTTCAAGACAAGAAAAGTGAAGAAAGAAACTGCTCTTAAGGCACTTTATCCTCGCTGTATTATAGAAATCTTCTTGTTTCTTGCAGGGATGGGTTGCTGAATGGTGATGATGGTGGCCACTTTCGGGCATACAGATTTACAGATAAAAAAGAAAAAAGAAAAAAAGAAAAAGATTAAAGAAGGGATTTTTACTTAAAAACGAATTAACAGCTAAAGAGAGATAAGCCTGACAGTAGAATATAATGGAAAATCTATCAAACTAGGAGGATCTGGATGGTCACTGCAATAAGAGAGAGAACAGAAAAGTCCATGAAAGGAAGAAATTCAAGTGGCCGATGGGAAGACTAAAACAAGTCTCATAAAAAACAAGTCTCATAATTATCTTCTGAAATTCTAATTTTGATTGGATGGATGGCCTTGGATTTGGGAATTCCAAATTTTTTTAAAACTTTTTTTGTTTTTTATTTGTGTGAATCTTCTTCATCCCACTTGAAAAGATGAGAGTTTAATTTAGGGATCTGCAGAGCATAACGAGTGGTTTGTAGAATTTCGAGATTACAAGAATTAGAGTGTTTTGCTATATAAAGAGACGCTGCCCTCTTCCAACAATGGGAAGTGGGTGACATTTGTTATTTCCATCCTCTCTAAATTGAGAAAATTATTGCCATCATTTTTTGTTTAATTAAATATTCTTTATAATTATATTAATTATAACTAAATAAAAATAAGTTAAGTATTCTTGTTATAAAATATTCCATTTTCTTTTTTCTAACTTAAAAAATTAATTTTCTTTATTAATCTATATTATTATTTTTTATTTAAACTAAATAATTTTCCTTACATGACAAATAATAATAAAATCTTATTAAAATATATAAATAATAAGGAAGTTCTTGAAATGTTATAATTCTTCTAAATCTTAAGATATTTTTTTGATATTAATATTTTTAAATTAAATAATTAAATTTATTTTTATTTAAAATATAAATAATGAGACTATTTTTATTTTTTTAATTACAACTTTAATTTATATAAATATAATTTTTTATTTTATAAATTATAAAAATTAAATAAAAATTATAGTTTTTTATGTAAATTTTTTTATAATTGATAAATAAGTTTTAAAAATAATGAGTTACAATAATAATTTTTAAACAACCACAAATTTAATTTTATAAATAAAAAAATGAATAATAAAATATAACTTTTCATTTTTACTATTAAAATTTAAGTTTTAAAAATAATTAAAATATAATTTTTATTTTTAAATAATTATAATTTTTATTTTATGATTTACAAAAATATTTTTTTTATTGTAAAAGTAAAATGGGTTTTGTGGATTTATGTAGAGCTACATTTGTTTAAACAGTAAACATTATTGAAAAAACTGTATTAATATGTTGGATTTTTTTTTTGTGCCGCTCATACATTAAATAAACAGTGATTTTATTAAAAAATATTTTTTTAAAAAAATTATATCAAGGGTGTTGGATTGGATATTTTGCACCCCTTAAATTTAGAACTTTCCAGTTTCCATGAGTATAGTCGAAGTTTCAATTGCAGTTCGCTCTTCCCGCTTGACTTCGCTCATTCGCTCTTCCTGCATGAGTTTGACTCGATTGTCGCTCTCCTATCATTCAATTTCGCTCATTTGCTCTTCCCGCACGACTTTGATTTGATTTTCGCTCTCCTACCGGTTGTGAGACAGTGAAGAATGACCAAGCGGTGTCGCAATATTAGCCTTGTAGAGGCACCGTCAGTCTTCGTCAATGCGTAGTTTCCTTCAAGGTGAGCTTTCTTCAAATTCAAATCAAACAAGGTTGTGTTGCTTTTGTTTCATTTTTGCTTCCCTGTTTATCCTGCTTGTGTTGATCATCTCTAGATTTTTCAACAGAAATTTCACAGTTAAGAAATCAAATGAGTTGTGTGGAAATCACTTTAATGAAGTTTTGGAATCTGGCATGTCTGTTGATTCTAATGTCATGGTGAATGGCAAACGAATGAGATGCACTGTGCATTTGTCTGCTGATGGCTCACCCAATAGACTTGTAGATCATTATTTTTATTCTTATGACAAAGAAAACCAATGTCCTTCCACCTATATCAATCAGGCGTCGCTTAGGTGTGTTGTATGTGATTTATATAGCTGCCGTTTTACGCTTGGTTGATAAACATTGTTATTACAATTTCCCCCTGATTTTTTTGGCAGAAAGAGAAAAATTACAGGAATATATGATTTGTCGCCTCTTGGTAATTACCGATGAAGTGACTTATTATCATTGTTTAATTTCATCTGGGTGGTTCTTATTTTTTGTATACATGGAAAGGTGGTTCATCTTTGCACTAGAAGAAATATAAAAATGATGGTAATATGACGAGAAATTCAACTAGTGCAGGTTTAGTAGAGACAATAAAACGGACAAGAGGCCAATGGTTACAGGATTAATATGAGGTAATTTAGAAGTTATCGTGTTTGGTCCTTCTTTATTTTATTAGTGTATAGTTCTACTGTCTTATTTATCCAAACCATTATTTTCCCTCCAGTGCTGAGAGTTATCATGTTAGTTTTCCTGATCAACTTAGACAATCTCAATGTTACAATGAAAGAAACAGTGTCATCATCTAAAAACAAATCCTAATCATGAAAAGTTAGTTGAGTTTTATTGGCTTCCATGAAAAAATCCCTACGTTTTTAGTCTTATTTTCATACTCCCTTTTTTTGATTGCACATGCACGAGCTAAATAAAAAGTGAATAAACATGGAACATGGTTAAACACCCTTTACAATCCACGCCCAATATCTTCCTACAAATCTGTTGTTTTCAAATTAGAACATGCTGACATAGCTCTTTTCACTTTCATCTTTTTAACCTATATTAAAACAAGTTTGTAACACTACCATTTTGAAGGAGTAATACCTATGAAGTGAGTGAAGGAGATGTTTTTTATATAAAAATATCTTCTCTTTTTTGAATCTTTAGCATTTTAATTATCTAATATATATATATATATTATGATTATGATTTATAGTTTGATTTGAGGATTTTAAGATTGCTGATCCTACTTGAAAATGTTATTATTTTAATAACCATTCATAAGCCCACTTACCTATTGCATTATTTGCATACATTTTAAAATGATATTATTGTATTATTGCATTCTTGGAGGATTAATTCTTGCTTAATTAGGCATTTTTAGATCTTAAGAATCATTTAGGGTTCATTCTTAGCTTAGGAGTATTTTGGTCATTTTGACAAGCTTTAGACATTTATTTAGTTTGTGTCTTTTGTCTTTCTAATATCAATGGAATAAGTTTGAGATTCAAATTCATTCTAGATTACAAAGAGACATCAAAAGAAATAAGTCATTGGATGTTCTAAGACAAAAACATTAATACTAGGTTATTATATTTTATAACCTAAGAGCTTTGAAATGACATTATATCTTGTAATTGGCTTTGAGTTTTAATTTGAAATTTTGCTCACATGCTTTGATCATTTTTGTGTGTATAATTGCATATGCAAACAAGGATTTGGATGAAGATTAAATGGCTAAAAGATTGGATTGCAAAGCAAACTACAAAGCTAGAAGACTCTAGAGTGACACATGTGTAAGAGTTGATTCAAGAAGCTTCTCATAATTTTAAACATGGAGGATTTCAACCTAGCAACCCTTAATCACCCTTCCATCATCATTTTAGAAGTGTTAGTGAGTTTTGATCAAGTGTGGAAGCTTCCAAGAAGAGCTATAAGTATACTCAAATTAATCTAGCTTGATTAATGGTCACATGCATTGTCTAACTCTCTAATCAAGTTGGTTAAGTAGTTTTAAATTTATTATTGGTTTTGATCATCTTGAATCTACTCTCTGTAAGTTCTAGCATTAATATTAATTAATGCATGAATTAGTGAGTTAATGGGATATTAAGGTTCTGTGAAACATTCGAGAAAATTTAATCCTGATTTATTAACTCAATTATTGTGATTAGTGAGTTAATAAGGTGTGTGGCCAGAGGAGCTTAATTTGGCATAATTGTTGTAATTTCAACCCTAGAAGTGGGTGTAGATTGATGGCGGGCCACCCTAGCAAGAAAAGAGGGAAAAAAATTGAAGGTGTATTCTTTGTGCCATATGTCGCGGCACGTGATCAATTTGTTACGGTGCATAAAGACAAATTTAAAAGTAGTGGACTTCTCTGTGCCATGTGCCACGATAGATGACAACGTGCGCCGCAGCACTCGGGAAAATTTTTTGATAAATCAATTCGTATCTATGCAAGAAAACAGAAGGGAGAAGAGGGAGAAAACGAAGAGGACGTTGGAGCTCTGTTAGGGCATGCATATTAGCTTTCATTGTTGATGTTTTGAAACTCCCAAACAGTTGAGGTAAGTAATCTACGCCTTATTCTTCCTTTCTCTCCCTCATTTATGATGAATTATGGTAGGGTTTGAGTTGGAAGATGGATTTTCGGTCCATAGAATTATGGTTTCGATTCTATTGATTAAAATGAGTATAATGGAAGTTGTTTAAGGTATTGACACACCACATTAATGATTTTGAAAGTGGTTGGTCCATGGAGTACTTTAATATTTAAAAATAGATATAAATATGATAGTTGGGAGAGGTTTATGTGCATTAATGATGATTTGAGATGTTATTAGTAATAATGTGCATTAATGGAACCTAATAAGCCCATTGGGTATAAATGGGTAGTGACTATGGGTTGGTAAAATAGAGTGTATGGAGTTATGTGTTGATAAATTTTCAAAATTAAGACAATGATTATATTCTTGTGGTATGATTATAGTGTGGTTTATTTTGTTACCATTCAAGCTTGTTTAAACTTTGGGAAGTTGGTATAGTGAGAGGCAAACCTTTGACCTCAAAGGTTTGAGGTAATCAGAAAAAACTTAATCTTTATAGTTAAATGTTAATTGTATTTGAAAAATATGATTTATGATTTAAATCAATGATGTATATTGGCAATGTGTTTGACTTGTGAAATGATTTTGAAAAGATAACCTTGATTATGTCACCCTTTGTGTTTTACAAAAATTGATTATGATTTGTTATTATGGGTAGAGAATTGTGATATATTATGTGTTGAGTTTGTGGAGTATTTGAGTTTATTTGAGTTCATGCACTATGAATTGATTATTACAATGCATATTATGTGAAAAATGTGCATAGCATAACTATTGGCGGAAGTTCGCCTACGGAGGGGAGTAGATTGATTTAAATTCACGTGATATTGGTAGTGATCGTTGGAATCAAGAACTAACCTTGGCACTGACCATTGAAATCGGAGGTAGACCCTGTTCCATGGTTGATTCGGGACTGTCCTACTTGTTCTATAAGGGACTTGAACCTAACTAGTCTCCATTGGTTCATGAGGAGGCTAGATTAAGGGTACGACACCTTATGGTTGTTAGTATTGGGGGAAACCGGATTACATTAGTGAATGAGTTAACCCTAACCCGGTAGCTTCTCACAAGTAGAAGGCTAGGTTAGTCTGTGAAGGGCGTAACCACGTATTAGCCATCAATTTCGTGTCGGAGGTAACAGGAGGATATAAGGTGATATGATCATGCATATAAGTCCAGCCATATGATTGTTAGTTTTGTAATCCAACATATGTTGAGGGGGCATGGTAGTTATTTTTACGACCCCGTGTTATGCTTGGTGAAATTTCATGATAAAGTGTGTTGTGGTAAGCCCGGTCACATGATTGTTAGTTTTGTGAACTATGACCGAGTGTTTATTTGTGATATTTGTGCTTATTTGCTTATTTGCATCTAATTACAATTGATATGGAATTTATAGGTTAAGTGAAACTTGGTTACTAAGTGGTCGTACTCACCCCTCAATTCTCAATATTTTCAGGACCTAGCTCATCGGATTTGAATCGAGGAAAGCACACAGAGGTCTAGGATTGTGGAGTAATTCTCTTTATGCCTCTTTTTATTACTTTCATGTGTATTTATTGATGTACTTGCCAACTAGGATCATTTGACGTGATTTATACACTATTTGCATAGTTTTGTATATAACTAGTGTATTTTATATTCTGGGTTAGTAAGTTTTAGTTGTAAGCCACTTTGAGGATCTTTGAGGTTAAGAGTGCCATAGTCAAAATTTTCCTCCACAATGTAAGGGCCCTCCCATTTGGATTGAAGTTTGCCACCAATGAGCTTGAGCCTTGTCCTGAACTTTAGCACTTTATCTCCCACTTGAAAATGCTTCCTCAAAATACATTTATCATGAATGAATTTTGCTCTTTCCTTGTACAATTTAGAGCTCTCATATGCATCCAATCTCAACTCCTCCAATTCTTGAAGTTGGAGCTTCCTTGAGGAAGCTACACCCTCCTTACCAAATGCACAAGCCTTCACAGCCCAATAGGCTTTGTGCTCAATTCCACTGAGAGGTGACATTGCTTACCATAAACCAACCTAAATGGAGACATCCCAATGGGTGTCTTGAATGCAGTCCGGTATGCCCAAAGAGCCTCCTCAAGTCTTGAGCTCCAATCTTTCCTATTCGGTCTCACAATCTTTTGAAGGATAGACTTGATCTCCTTGTTCGAACACTCGGCCAACCCATTTGTTTGAGGATGATATGGGGTTGCCACCGTGTGTAGAACACCATATTTCTAAAGTAAAGAGGAGATAGTCTTGTTGCAAAAGTGTGCCCCTTAGTCTGTGATGATTGCTCTTGGGATGCCAAACCTGTAAAACACATGAGACAAAAGAAACTTTGCCACAACTTTGGCATTATTAGTTCTAGTGGGGATAGCCTCAACCCGCCTAGAAACAAAATCAACACAGAGCAATATATATTCACAACCATTGAAAGAGGGAAAATGACCCATGAAATCCATATCCCAAACATCAAAAATCTCACAAAATATAATGGGCACCTGTGGCATTTCATGTCTCTTTCCCAAACTCCCAAAATGTTGACATGCATGACATGCTTTGCAAAATTGATGTGCATCTTTAAAAAGAGATGGCCAATATAAACCACAATCTAAGACCTTCTGCCCGGTCCTCCTAACCCCAAAATGACCACCACATGCATAAGTATGACACATCATCAATCTCAACATCAGGAACACATCTCCTAATGACACCATCACTACACAATCTCCAAAGAGTAGGTGAATCCCAAACATAGTATCTACTTTCTCTAGCAAGTTTCTCCCTAGCATGTCTAGTAATCCTATTTGGAAACATATTATGCACCAACAAATTGACCAAATTAGAATACCAAACAACATCATGAGAAGAAATAGCACATAATGATTTGTCTATAAACTCATCACAAGGGAAATCAAAAGAGGAATTCACCATAATGGAGTCATAAGGCAATCGACTCAAGTGATCCGCCACATGATTTGTTGCTCCACTCCTATCAATGATCTCCAAATTGAACTCTTAAAGTAGAAGCATCCATCTAAGCAAACGTGGCTTGGTGTCCTTCTTCTTTAAAAGGTACTTCAAGGCCACATGATCTGTAAAAAAAACAACCTTGGAATGCAACAAGTAAGATCAAAACTTGTTAAGAACAAATACTAATGCATACAATTCTTTTTTAGTTGTGGTGTAATTGCATTGTGCTTTGTCTAAAGTCTTAGATGCATATGCAATAACATAAGGTAGCTTGTTTTCCCTTTGTCTTAACATAGCTGCAACAGCAAAATTAGAGGCATCACATGAAATCTCAAATGGAATCAACTAATTAGGACTCCTCAAAATAGGAGGGGAAACAAGCTTATCCTTCAAAGCATCAAATGCATCTCTACAACTTGGAGAGAACTCAAACTTGACATCTTTTTGAAGTAATTAAGACAAGGGACGTGCAATCTTAGAAAAATCTTTAATAAATCTTCTATAAAAACCCACATGGCCAAGGAAAGATCTCAAGTCCTTGACATTAGTTGGATAGGGCAAAGATGAAATCACTTCAATTGTGGCCCTATCCACCTCAATGCCACGGCTTGAAACTAAGTGGCCCAAGACAATCCCTTGCTCAATCATAAAATGGCACTTCTCAAAATTCAAAACCAAGTTTTTCTCCACACATCTAGCAAGGACTTTATCAAGATTTCTCAAGCAAGAAGAATGAGAATCCCCATGAATTGTGAAATCATCCATGAACACTTCCATGCAATTTTCAATAAAATCACTAAAAATACCAAACATGCATCTTTGGAAGGTCCCTGGAGCATTACACAATCCAAAAGGCATTCTTCTATATGCAAAGGTACCAAATGGGCAAGTGAAAGTGGTTTTATGTTGATCAACCGGATCAATGCAAATCTGAAAATAACCACTATATCCATCAAGAAAGCAATAATGAGATTTCCCCCCTAATCTTTCTAACATTTGATCAATAAATGGGAGAGGGAAATGGTCTTTCTTGGTTGCCTCATTCAACAACCTATAATCAATGCATTCCCTCCAACTATTTTGTACCCTAGTAGGAATCAATTCATCATGTTCATTCTTTACCACAGTAATTTCACTCTTCTTGGGCACAACTTGCATCGGGGACACCCATTCACTATCACTAATAGGATGGATTATACCTGCACTCAAGAGTTTGGTAACCTCCTTCTTTACCACATCAAGTATGAGAGGATTCAACCTCCTTTATGGTTGCCTTATTTCCTTGACATTTTCCTCCAACATGATCCTATGTGTGCAAGTTTGAGGGCTAATTTCAGGAATGTCTCCAAGTGTCCACCCAATAGCCTCAATGTTCTTCCTCACTACATCACACAACAAAGACTCTTCCATAGGGGTTAGTGAAGAAGAAACAATAATAGGCAGTTGATTACCATTTCTTAAGTAAGAATACTTAAGATGTGAAGGAAGTGGCTTCAACTCTAGATTGGGTGGCTCAATGATGCTTGGAGGGATCTTTTGCACTTGAATTTGCCTTGCTAGATCCATGTCTTCCTCTTTAAGTGGCATGCCCAAGCTTCTCACGGCTGCTGTGTGAAAAATTTCATCCAGATTGACTTGCTTGGTTCCAACTTTAAGCCTCACATCTAGATTTGATTGGCTTGCTCCAGAATTAATTTCAGGTTTGGCCAGATCTGATTCTAGACTTGCAGCACCAATTTGCACGCCCTTAAGATCATTAACAGCCCTAAAATCACTTTGTTCATGCTTTTCAATTGTCCCTAAACCTGAAACATCACAAATAGAACACTCCTCCAACCTTGGAGAATAATTAGGCACAAAAGGATCAAAGCTGTCAAAATTTCTAGAATTAAATTCAGTAGAAGAAATCCAATGATGTGATGAAATATGACATGTGGAAGATGAACTAGGGCTATCATTAGATGCAATTTCACTCTCATCACTTGATTATATCACTAAATCAATAGAATTTCTAAAATTGATACTCAAATTATCAAACTTATCTAATGCAAGCAAATCACTCAAGGAAGCATATGTTTGGTCATGTGAGGAACTAGACAACACAAGTGCTTCAAATGGAGTGCAAGTAGATGAGTGAGGCATATCAAGTGTTCTGCCATTCAAATGCTCATGCTCAAGTGAATGCAATTCATCTTGAGATTTCAAATTAGACAAAATTAACACTATGTTATTGCAATTCACACAAATAGAGTCATGAGTGCATGAACAAGTGAAGCTAGGAAAAGATGCAACATCATCCAAGCTAGGATGCATAGAAATTTCATCAATGATTCCATCAAGTGTATCATCAATGCAATCTATAAAATGAAGGCTATAATCAACATAAGAGTTTTTCAAGCTATCAAATATGTTAAATTCAATCTTGCTGTCCAAAAACTCCATGGTAAGTTTTATGATGTCATCATAAAAGGTCTCCCAAGGATGAGTGTGCCTTGGCCTCCTTCTTGCATATCTAACACATAAAAATCTGTTGGAAAAACTAAGTCCTTGACCTTCATTAAGATGTCTTCCAAGAATCCCTTAGGCTTCCTAGTGCTCCGGTCGGCTAGTTGCAAGATGACACTACAATCTTGAAGACCACCAAGATTAAGGGAAGAATAAATGTGAGTAGGCATCACATTGATGGCTGCCCCTAAGTCAATCAAGGCTTCTTGAACAAACACATTCCCTATTTGACAAGGAATGGTATATGCCTCTGGATCTCTACACTTTAGAGGGAGTTGTGGCTTGAAGACAGCACTAATATTATGACTCATTTGAACTGTAGCCAATGGTTTGAATCTCCTTTTATTAGTACACAACTCCTTTAAAAACTTTGCACACTTAGGCATGCTTTTTATCATCTCAAGAAGTGGTATGTTCACTTCCACCTTCTTCAACATATCAAACACATCATGCCTATCTTCTTCTTGCCCCTTCTTAGCAAATCTAGTCAAGGCCTTAGGAATGGCATATCCCTTAGAATAGGGTCTCTAATTTGATATTCTTTTGGAGGCTCTCTTCTTCCCAACACCTCTTTCTCCTTAGGCTTGCTTGAATCATTCTCATTTGCCTTAGAAGATGGATGAACCGTGGCTGTTCCAGCACTGCCTTGATTTGAGCTCAATTTCACCTCTTTTTCTTGAGCATTCAGGGCTAATCTTGCCCCATTTACATCCTCAACTACAATCTCTTCAATAGAGTCATCCTCATCATCAATCACTTGAGGACTTAGAGAAGTAGGAGGCATGTTCTTGAGGCTATGTGAGGCACTTGGATGCACATTTACCTTGCTGTCACAGCAAGTGGAATCACGTGGACCAGCAAGAGAAAGTGGTCTTCCTTCACAAATTTGAGAATTCCTTGAAATAACCTCACTAGGATTGCTGCCACCATGGTTTGAGGCACTTAGAATGGCTTCAAGAACTCTTCTACTCCTCAACTCAATTGCACTAAGGCTCTTTGGATTGATGACAGGTTGAGTTGGGAGCTTTCCACTTCCTTGAGCTTGGCTAATGCTATTTGAATTCTCAAATTATTGTACCACCAAATCAGTGCTTTGTTGCTTTGAATCAAGATTACCTAGCCTCTTAAGCATCATGTCCATTTCTGATTTTGCCCTAGACACATAAGAATAAAACTTTTGGCCTATAGAAAACATAGCATCACCCATCCTCTCAAGGTAGGAATACATTTGTTTATCACCTCCACCATCTTGGATAAGGATCACTTGAGAATTCTTGGCTTGCACAACCTCTTGATTACCCTTGTAGCTGAAGTTAGGGTGCTGCCTCCAACTTGGGTTATATGTGCTCCCATAGTTAGCCTCAACATTATTCCTTGCCCCTTGATTATGTAATTGTAGGGTCTTTGTTGTTGATACACAGCCCCAACATCTCGAGCATGCATGCAATTAGAGGTGATATGTATTGTGGAATTGCATATACCACAAATAGGAGCCACTAGAGCATTGGACATAGAAGCAATCTAAGCTTGTAGAGGATTGGAGATAGACATCTTGAGAAAATCCAATTGAGAGTAGATATCCTCCAATTGGGAATTAGCAATAGAAGATTGGCCCACTTGGTGAATACCCCTTGCATCTCTTGAGCTATATTGTTGGTTATTGTTTGCAAGCTTTTCCAACAAGGTCCATGCATCATCCGGCGGAAGATCTAATAGAGAGCCATTTGCAGTAGCATCTATGGTCTTTCTATCATGAATTTGCAACCCCACATGGAAATAATCAATGAGGAACTCCTTACCCACATTTAGGTATGGATACTTTGCAAGCAACTCAAGAAACCTCATCTAATACTCATAAAGAGATTCTTGAAGGTGTTGTTGAATCCCCATGATTTGCTTCCTTAGTTGAGAATACTTGGTTGCTGGAAAATATTTTTCAAGAAAGCAATTTTGCATCTCCACCCAAGAATTGATGGTCCTTGTGGCAAGAGTATTGAACCATGTGATTGCTTTATCCTCAAGAGTCAAATAGAAGACCCTGAGCATCAAATTCTCCAAGTTTGCTATGGGAGGCTTCAAGGTTGAACAAACCCTCTCAAGTATTTGAAGATGCCTATTAGGATCCTCACCTGCAAGGCCATGGAATTTTGACAAAGCATTAATCAATGAAGGTTTGATTTCATACTCATTTTATTTTTGTAAATTTAAAAACAAGCCACGAGGTCTAAATGTGTCAGTGGGTACTACCATCTCTCTAATACTCCTCCTAGCAGGTATTTCATGTTCATTACCATGCAATCTATTAGCCATACTGTCCAAAATCATAGAATTATCAACTATGGTGTTTGGAAGAGAAGAAGATGCTAAGAACTCTAAATATTGATCTCTAAATTCAATATAATTTTCACCAAGTTCTTTGCAAGTCCTACAAGACATATAAAGCTCAGAACACCACAGAAATAGCACTGGACCAAAGAAAAATCAAAAATTCAAAAGTAGGCAACAAATTCTGAAAACTGGCAGAGTTGAAACACACTGAGGCAGTATTTTTGTAAAACTTTTTCGAACGTGAAAAAGACAAAATTAGCAAAAACTCAAAACTAAAAATTTAAAGATAAAACACTGAATTAAAATCAGGAATTTTTATAAACAAAATTTCCAAACAGGGAAAGAGATATGCTCATCCAAAATTAGCCCTGTCTGCCTGGAGTGTCACTGGGAGTCAGAAGTGGACCCTTTGTGCTTGTTCAATGCACAACTTGCACTCTCTGGTTCCGAATCAAATTGAGCTGAAATTTTTACCTGAAAATTTAAACATAGAGAAGGTTATACAGACCAATTTTCAAGAAAACATACGCAGTCAATTCTTCCCAGTATTTTTTCGAATTAGGGTCTGCAGCACTGGAATTTTCAGTGAACCCTGTTTCAGTCAAGCAAACATTCAACCAACTTAATGGCCGAATTAGCAATTATGTTCAACAGAAAAAATGTTTCTAAGATAACAAGGAACACAATGAAATAAGAATCAGCTCAAAACGATATGTGTAGCGAAAATTATACTTGTCTGAATTTTGTGTAAAATTTTTGGACAGAGCAAATTCTCACAGCTTGCTGGCACTTGAGCTAACCTTGACAGATTTGGCTTGCACGTCTAGAATCAATACTATGATGACTATATCCAGTAGCAAACAGACCAACAAGTGATCAAATGCTCAGAAAACACAAATCAGCCACCACAACACAAATTCCAGAATTAAGCCAAAATGTAAAACAAATTAAAATAGCAATTGAAACCACAATTTGTATGGCTAGTTGCTCCCTGGCAATGGCGCCAATTGATGAACTCTTTAGTCATCTTGGGTTATCAAATTTTACTAGAATGTAGAAGTGAGTATTCTAGGCCATTTCCCTAGAGAGCAAAGCATACAAATCATTATTCAAATGCCACAAATTAATCTGAATTTTCAAGTGACTAAACTAACTCTATAATGCAACAATAAATTTTTGTAAAATTCTGTTTTAGTTGGAATGAAATGAATGATGATTATGGTGAGCCCAAGTCAGATTTCTTAACATTAATCATTGATTTCTAGAATTATAACATCATAAACCTTCTTGATTAACCTAAAATGAGATACTTAGAAACCTCTAAGTGTGGTGCACCATTAGACTCAATGGACACGAATGAATCTAGGTCAAGTGAATTTAGAAATTAACACTATATTCAGCCTTGTTCTTCACAAGTTTCAGACCAAAACTGGTGGAAGAAAAACACCTTAAGTCAAATTCATATAACTAATATGGATCTAACTCAAGTCTACATAAGAACTTGAACAAAAATCAGCAAGAACTTATGAAATAACCCCAGAACATTAAGGTAAATTATAAATTCCAGAACTGAAAATAGCATGAAAATCTAAATTCAACATTCATATTCTCATCAAATCTGAATTAGAATCATAAAGTCTTTAACCAAAACAGGTTCAAAATTCAAATTCTCAATTAATCAAGACAAGAACATGAAATCAAGAAAATGAACAACAATTACAAATTGAAAATCTCATAATGTCAAGTCATCTTTCTTGGAGCCCTAAATAATCAGCTTCTCATGCTCTTCCTCTTCACTTGAATCAGACCTTGAGAAGCCTCCATGAATGTATGAAGATGAAAATGAAATCTGGAGATAAATGTGTGCTGGACGAAATCTGGAGGAGAAGAAGAAAATGGATGAAAATTTGGAGGAGAATGAAGGCAGAATTCAACCTGAATGAAGGAGAAAGGAGAAGAAATGATCTGGACAGTGAGAGGATGAGAAGATGGTGTGATCTGGAGAAGAAGATGAGAGAACTGAATCTAGAAAATTGGAGAGTGAATATGAACGAAAATTGAGAGAGAATATGGCTGAAGTGAGAGAGTGGGATTTGAATTATGAGGCTCTCATCTGAAAATTCAGCTTATGTATGTGTGGAAAATGTGAGTGGTGATAAAACCAAAGTGGATGGTGATAAAAACAAGGAAGGTCCAGATCTGAAATGAGTTGGAAAAATGGACGAAAATAAGCTAAAATGGGAATAAAAATGAGGTGGAAAATGTGGCAAGGGACATGTGAACATGTGTGGGAAATGTGACTCCTCCTTAGGCTGCCAATCAGCTGGCACATGTCATCCCATTAGATCTGATCATGTCACACCTCCCATGCCCCTTCTTCACTTGATGATGTGTCCCTCAATGCTTTCCATGCTCCTTTGATTTTTTATTTAATTAATTCTCCCCAATTAAATCTGAATAATGGTGCTACATCATCCCTCAAATAATTCTGGAATTTGCACCCAACAACCCCTAAATTCTTCATCTTTATTTATTTGCTATCTCTTAAATTTCTCCAAGCATGTGGACTAGCCTTTGATCCTTGATTTTAAAATTGCCCTCACAAAATCTGAAAATAAAAACACAAGACTAAATAAATTCTAAACAAAAAGAAATAAAAAGGAAAAGAAGAGAATTAATGCCCAAGATCTCAATTTAGGATATGAAAGTGTCAAAACAATCATCAAATAGCACTACTAGGGTTCATAAAGTCAATCTAGAAATGACAACTCAAAATCGGGAATTAAACCCTATTATGCACAATTTGATGCCAAAAATCAAGTGTTTTAACATGTAAAATATGACATAGATCAATGTTATAATTCTGGAAATCAATGATTAATGTTAGAAAATCTGACTTGGGCTCACCATAATCATCATTCATTTCATTAAAACTAAAACAAAATTTTACAAACATTTATTGTTGCATTACAAAGTTAGTTTAGTCACTTGAAAATTCAAATTAATTTGTGACAATTGAACAATGATTTGTATGCTTTGCTCTCTAGGGAAATGACCTAGAATACTCACTTCTATATTCTAGTAAAATTTGATAACCCAAGGCGATTAAAGGGTTTATCAATTACAAGAAAAATTGACAAAGTACATTTTATGTCCAGTTGATGAGTAGTGAAATTATATTTTTAAAATTCATGTTAGTTTGGGAGTAATTAAATAAAAAGTCAACACTTTTTTAAGTGTGTTAGTTTGACCTAGTTTTCGGTTTTCTTTTGTGTGAAAATTTTTATATAATTTTGTGCAACTTAAAACTTGGTTATTTTAATTAATTCTCTCTTCTAATTATGAATTCAATTCTGGAATTTAATTTCATTTTATAATGTCACATGTTATTTAATTTAATTATATGATTTATGTGATATAGGTGGCTTGTGGCTTGTACATCAATTGGGCAAATAGAATCAAAAGTTCATGGGGTTAAAGGCTAATGGTTTGGACATGTAAGACCTCCTATTTGGTGGCTTAGATTAGCTAAAGTTATGGATGATACATGGGATTAATTGTACACATACTGGAATCATCTACAAACTAATAGGAGGGTGCTACCTTGCAAGTGTGACAAGACTCCCATTTTCCATTTATTTTCTTTTCTTAGTTTTCTAAGTGAGCTTCAGCTGATGGGAAAACACTTAGAGCACGTCCTACACCCCCCAAAATCATATTCATTCACCTATTTACTCATCTTCCACATTTTCTCTCTCTTATTCTTAGTGTTCTTCATTTTTTCCTCCTTCTCTCTACTCTCTAGCATGTCCAGCCCCTATTCTTCCACTGTTTCTCTATCAAATCTACTCAAATCTTCCACCATTCTTTTACCCTATCATGGCCAAACTCACCCCAAGCATCTAAAGGAAGAATTGAAGCTTAATTCATTAAGACTATAGAGCATACCTCTCGGCCACATGGTGTTCATAGAGGAAGTAAGATTTTCTTTTTGTTTTCTAGCTAGATTCTTCATTGAATCCTAGGGGAGAGTTGATGAAAGAGGAGACTTGAAATTTTCACTTGGCTAAGCTTAACTATTTCTTCATCTTGTTTCAATTTGATTAGAATACTATAACTATTATTGATTGTGGTTCAATTTGACTTTAGTTTCATGGTCGTTTGGAATTTATAATATTGAAACAAGATTGTTTAGTTGAATTTCAAGTTCATAATGCTGCTGGAATTTTGGCCTCTTGGTATTTTTACATGGTAATATGTGATTTCACTTGGAGAATGTCTTCTATTAGCTTAGCATGCAATTGTGTGGTAAATACTTGATGAGTTGCTTGAGTTTTCATAGTTCTAAGCTTAGGTATAGCTTTGGGTAGTGGCATTTAGGAATTAATTTTAACTAAACACTTGGTTAATTTGAGAGCTAAGCTAGTAAAGTTACCTAGAGGGCTTATAATAGCATTTAAGGAATTGAATTAGTGAAGTTAGGATGCTTGAGATAGTTGTCTTAAGTAAATACATTTTTCAACCAAGGAAGGAGAGTTAAGTGAGCTGCCATAATTAAATAAAGGGCTAGGAATCTTTCGTTAACAACACCCTAGGGTTCTTACTTGAATAGGGAAGCCACTTCATTCACAATTAGGATTGGTTTTCTAGTTTAATTTATTAGATAATTAGGTTAGCACTTGATTAATCAACTTCAAACTGTGATTTATTCAACTAGATAACTTTAAATTAGACTTAAAACCATTCCTTGGGAAATAACTTAGGGTTGGCCCTATATTGCATTAGGGTTAGCTTTAGTTTAATTTGAAGGCAAGCGACTAAATCCTATCAAGGTTCAATGCAGTTTAATGCTGGGGATAGAATTAAGCCTCCATAACCTTCAAGGCAAGCTTCAAATAGACCAGCTCCTACTTTTAATATGGGAAGGTCACCTCAGTGCAGTATTTATGGTAGATTCCATGCAGGCAAGTATTAGTCTTGTTGCAACACATCACCAAGTATTATCCCAAGGGAGGAATTGAAGCAACAGAGCAATGGTCAACTATTCCAGGACAAGTCTTTGCCATGATGCAAGAAGAAGCCATGGCATCTTTGAACTTGATTAAATGTATAATCTCTGTCTCTGGTAATAGAATTAAAGCATTGTTTGACTCTGGAGCTACACATTCTTTCATCTTAGAAGAATGTGTAGTTAGACTGAAACTAGAGCAAAGAGTTACTCTTGTATTGGTCAAAGTGACTACACCTTTAAGATCCTCAAATATTACTAGTAAGGCTTGTCAGAATATAGAGGTTGTATTTGAGGATTATGATTGATTTGATTTTCATTCTTATGACAGGGATTGATATAATTGTTAGCATGGATTAGCTAGCAACTAACGATGCTATACTAGGTTGTGCTTGGAAGCTAGTGTCTTTGTTAATGTTGATAGTAAGAACTAGTTTTACTAAGTAGGTTGGGTTTTTATCAGTAGTGCAAGCCGAGAAGTTGATTAAGCAGGGGTGTTATGCGTATATGGTGGTTTTGGTAGCTAGCAGTATGTATGATGGGAGTATTGAGAAGATGGAATAGTAAGAAAATTCTATGAGGTATTCTTAAAAGAAGTATCTAGATTACCTTCGGAAAGGAAAGTTAAATTCTTAATAGATTTGGTTCTTGGCACTAAACTAATTTCTAAAGCCCCGTATTAGTATCACCCTCAAAGTTTAACAAGTTGAAGAATAAGATTAAATATTTTCTTTATAAGGGGTTTATCAGATCGAGTATATCGCCTTAGGGATCGCCGGTGTTTTTTTTTTTTTGAGAAAGAAGATGGCAACTTAAGGTTGTTCTTCGACTACTGGCAGTTGAATAATGTAATAGTGAAGAATAAGTACCCTTTACCCAAAATTGATGATCTGTTAGATCAGTTTGCTATAGCCTCAGTCTTTTCTATGATTGACCTAAGGTTAGGATATCATCAATTGAGGGTCTCTGAGAAAGATGTACCTAAAACGGCCTTTAGGACACGTTATAGGCATTTTGAGTTCCTTGTCATGCCATTTGCTCTGACTAATGTGCCTGCTATATTCATGGATTACATAAACTGTATCTTCAAGCCATATCTAGATTAGTTTGTTGGTTTTCATTGACGACATTCTTGTTTATTTTGAAGATGAGGACCAACATGCCAAGTATCTCCAGATTGTCCTCCAAATTCTGAAAGAGAATAAGCTGTATGCTAAGCTTAGTAAATGTGAATTTTAGTCGAGGGAAGTTAGATTTTTATGTCATGTGGTGTCAGCAGATAGGATTTCTATTGATATGCATAAAGTTAATGCTATGTTGAAATGGGAACGACCTATCTCAATTACAAAGATTTGAAGTTTCCTATGGCTGGATATTACCGATGGTATATCCCAGGTTTCTATCAGATTGCTTCTCCATTGACAAGATTGACTTGTAAAGATCAGCCTTATATTTGGGATGACAAGTATGAAATTTCTTTTTAAAAATTGAAGGAAAAGTTAACTATTGCACTTGTATTGATAATTTCAAATCCAAGACTACCTTATAAGGTGTACTCGAATGCTTCTTTAAGAGGTTTAGGTTGCGTGCTGATTCAAGATGGACGAGTAGTTGCCTATGCATCAAAGCAATTAAGTTTGCATGAAGAAAATTATCTGACCTATGATCTAAAACTTGCAATAGTGGTCTTTGTGCTAAAGATTTCCATCATTACCTGCATGGTTCAATATTTAGCGTGTACCCTAGTGGAATTAATGAAGATTAAGTCTATATGGCATTACTAGCACCTCAGGATGCCAGGGGCAACATTTACTCTCCTTAATGCCCGAAAATGGGTGCGATGTTGGAGACTTACTCTCCTTGATACCCAAAAGGGTGCGGAGTTGGAGATTATGCTCTTAAGCATCCATAGGATGCGGTGTTGGAGTAATGATACCCCAATTACTTATAATGGGGGAACCGGCAGTCCAGAAGTGGTAGAACAACTTGGCCGGGTAGTTCTACTATGGATCATAAGCTTGGGGACCATACATGTGATTTGGTTCTATGAAATAGCCTACTAATTCGATTGGGAGTATTGGAGGATCGAACGGTTAGAGATCATAGATGTAACTTGTGGTGATTTTATATGGTGTGCTTATTTTACTTGATTTAAGGCTTGTTTATAACTTGGCATGTTAATCAATAATGTAGATTATCTTAGTTACTAAGATTTTTATCTCACCCTGTGGTTATCATTTTTACAGGTTCTACCACTGAGACTGAGTAAGGAAAGGAATCAGGCAAGGACTAGTAGATTTGCTACATTATGAATAGTAATGCCTGATTTTGGTTTGACTGGTGTACATAAACTTATTATATGATATTATATGTTGCCATTTAGGAATGCATATCATTTTAATTGGTTGCACTTGTTACATACTATGTTGTTTTGTATTTTAGCCTAATATTGTATATGATGTGAATATGTGGCAATTTTTGTAGTGATGGGCTAAAATACTAATACAAGTGTAAGAGATGTTTTATCTATGTGGTGACAATGTATATGTAATATATTATGTGGCAATAGAGGCCAAATAGTATATATGGTGTTGATTTGGTATTTTAGCCATATTGGGCAAAATGGCCATTAAGTGGCCAAGTTTTGTGCTTGGTATGTTATTGTATGTTTGAATGCTCACTCAAGTATATTTTGGTCCATTAGACTTAGTTCAAGCCTCACAATGGATTAATGATATAAGTTTTGAGTACTTGGATGCTTGAAAATTACTTTAAAAACTGACTTTTGCACCCGAGCATCTAAAATTCTCATACGATGTCAGATCATAACGAAACTTATACCATTAGTTAGCTTATTGAATAAGCTTCACGTGGGTGCTTTAATCACTCCAATCGAACATCGAATGCGAAGAGGATGCGCATTTGAAGTTAGTTTAGAAAAGCTATCATGACAGCATTGCTGTCATGGACACGTGCGCCGTGGCACATTTTGCACAAGCCGCGATGCACGATACAGTGAGAAAACTTGGCTTTCTGTGCCATATGCCGCGGCGTATAGACCACGAGCCGTGGAGCATGGACAAAAACACTAAAAAATGACATTTTTGGCCCTATTTTGAAGTGCTTTACTACCTAAAACTTTTCCATGCTTGCAATATATATATAAATCATTAAGTTTGAGCTCAAAATATTAATTTAAAGGGTTTTTAAGAGATCCCAACTTTTTCAAAATCATTTCTAAAAGATTATTAATTTTAACTCTTATATATGTAAGATTAGGAGTAAATTCTTGCTCCTAATTATGATTGTTTGTTGTGATTTTGTGGTGAATTTTAGTAATGTCAAGGTGGACATTACACAAGGCAAGCTTATGGCAATCATTGCTAAGGCTCTTTTTCAGCATTGGCAGCCTCGTGCAAGCTTGCAGTAATTGTCGACAATGATGGGTGATTTAATAGCAAGTGTTGGCAAGGCACGAACTAGTGTTGGCAACCCAGGGCAAGCTTGTGGCAATCATTGGCAAGGCCCTTTGAAGCGTTGGCAGCCTCGTGCAAGCTTGTGACAATTGTTGGCAATTAAGGGTGATTTAGGAGCAAGTGTTAGCGAGGCATGAACAAGCGTTGGCAAGCTAGAGCAAACCTGTGGCAAGCTTTGGTAGCCTCGTGTAAGCTTGTGGCATTTTTAGGCAACTAAGGGCAAGTGGGGTTGAAAGTGTTGGCAAGGCATGAATAAGCATTGGCAACCCAGGGTAAGCTTGTGGCAAACATTAGCGAGGCCCTTCAAAGCATTGGCAGCCTCATGTAAGCTTGTGGCAATTGTTAGGAACTAATGGCAATTTTGTAGCAAGTGTTGGCAAGGCAAGAACAAGCTTTGACAACCCAGGGTAAGCTCATGGCAATAGTTGGCAAGGTCCTTTGAAGCGTTGGCAGCCTCGTGCAAGCTTGTGGAAATTGTTGGCAACTAAGGGTGATTTAGGAGCAAGTGTTGGCGAGGCATGAACAAGCATTGGGAAGTCAGGGAAAGCCTGTGGCAAGTATTGGCGGTCGTGCAAGCTTGTAGTAATTTTGGGCAACTAAGGGCAAGTGGGTTGCAAGTGTTGGCAAGGCATGAACAAGCGTTGGCAACCCAGGGCAAGCTTATGGCAAGCATTGGCGAGGCCCTTCGAAGCATTAGCAGCATGCAAGCTTGTGGCAATTGTTATAACCTAAGGGTGATTTAGGAGTAAGTATTGGCAAGGCACGAATAAGTATTGGCAAGCCAGGGCAAGCCTGTGGCAAGCATTAGCAACCTTGTGCAACCTTGTGGCAATTTTGGGCAACTAAGGGCAAGTGGGTTGCAAGTGTTAGCAAGGCACAAACAAGCGTTAACAAGCTTGTAGCAAGTATTGGTGAGGCCCTTCGAAGCATTGGTAGCCTCATGCAAGCTTGTGGCAGTTGTTAGGAACTAATGGCGATTTTGTAGCAAGTATTGGTAAGGCATGAAAAATCATTGGCAAACTAGGGCAAGCTTGTGGCAATCATTGGCAAGGCCTTTTAAAGTGTTAGCAACCTCATGCAAGCTTGTGGCAATTGTTGACAACTAAGGGCGATTTAGTAGCAAGTGTAGGCACAACACAAACATGTGTTGGCAACCCAGGGCAAGCTTATGCCAAGCATTGGCAAGGCCCTAGAAAGTGTTGGCAGCCTCATGCAAGCTTATGGCAATTGTTGACAACTACTCTGTACCTCTTCTTATAGCAATTCTCAATTTATTGCACATGCTATCAAACGATGTGATCCCAACAAAGACTGCTGTTGATGATATTCTAGTTTCATCTTCTCTAATAACCTCAATGCTTTCTACCTAAAGTCATTCTTCTCTATCGTGCTCTTGTCAAAAGTTGGTAGATTTAACTAAGAGAAACTCTTCCAAGCTCAATCTATAGAGATTTCACAATTACTGCCACCTATTACCCTGAATTGTTTAGGTGTACTCTCTTCATAGGCCTCCTCTTATTCGTACATTTCTTCCTCATTCTCAATAGTTTTTCTACTCTCTTAATGGTTTTTATCATTTCCTTGTGCACCTTGCTCCCTTACAATGTTGAAAATTTCCCTCATCAACTCCCTTATCTCAATCAATAAAGCCTCATTGCCCTAGGGCTCAAGCCTAGGCTATTTTGTGTTCTCTTACTCCCGTATAGGAATATGACCTTCTAGAGGAACCTCGTGTTCTTAAGCAAGGCATCCATGTTTGATGGATTGCCAACAGTAGTGGATCTAGTATATCATCTTCCTGCCATTCTTTTCTCATAACGATGGAAGCAACCAAATAAAGGGTAAGCGTACAAGTTAACTAAAGCTATGCAAAAGGAAAGATAACGTGTGACAAGAGAGAGAGAGAGAGAGAGAGAGTGTGTGTGTGTGTGTGTGTGTGGTGCAAACTACTATATGCTCAATTTAACAAACACTAACCAATGGATACTAGTCTTGAAAATACTTGAAACTAATACCAAATTGTAATGTCTATCTTGACATTATCAGAACACATAATACAATACTCTATCATGGTAACAAATTAGATAAATCCTTATATATAGTTACCATAATAGAAAAGTGTTAAATTAAAACTTTTAAAAGATATGTTTAAAAGATTGGGATCCTAAAAACCCTTTTAAAAAGGTGTTTGAGCTAAAACATAAGTTAATTATCAAATAAGAAGTCATGAAATCATGGAAAATAAAAAAAACAAACAAATTATGACACAATAGTGTTGGATAGGGAGATAAAATAGAAGATTAAAATTTTAAAATCTCTATCCTAATGTGGATCGAATGAACTTATTTAAGTCAAGGTGGATATAAGAGTTACCTTTTATTTTGAACTTCTCACGTGTTGTCTTCAAGAAGTTGAATCTTAGGAGTTGACAATGTAGATCAACTCTCCCTACCAATATCCAAACAAATAGATCTCCAACTCGAACACAGTGTTAAAGCTTGAAATGTCCTTTCATTTTCTTAAATGTCGAATGTCACTTTTCTCTAAGGTGTTTTTCTGGCTCTCACTGTGTTTTTGCCTTCCTCTTGAAAAGCCAATGAAAATTTAGATTAAATTTATCTTATAAATAAAATATATAATATCATCTAATTTGAATTTATCTTATAAATTCATATTATAGAACTGATGTGATATTTTCTCATATCATGTTAGTTATTAAATTTAATTTATCATATAAAATTAAATTTAAAACTAATACAATATAATATAATAAGATATAATGTAACATAACATAACATATATCAAATATACATATTATATGTATATGTATATCTATACGAATATATATATATATATATATTTCAAAAGTATATACATATTATATTATATTATATTATATATATATATTGAATTTTATATATCAGATACATACATGCAAACATGCATACATACATACATATATATATATCAAATACACACACACATGTATATATATATTGAACATATAATTATGTTTTGAATTTTATATTTCATATAAATATTTATCAAATAAATATTTAAGTATATATTTAAAAAAAATCGTTCACCCTAGACAAGGCATTACATTCATTGAATCTAGATACACTCCAGATTCAATGAACTTGGACATCATAGCTTGAGTTGGGCTATTCTTGTGTGCGACACTATTAGCCTAAATGAAGTTGCTAGTAGTCTAATAACAAGTGACAAATGGCCTCTAATAAGACATTGTGACTACCCAATTCATATAGGGATCAATGATATGATGTAACCTATCATATAACCACATCACATTCCTTTTATCACATAATATTTTGGTTAAGTGTGAAACATGAAATTATCATTTTCTTTTACTTGACCATTACTTTCACGATCTCTAAGTTGACTATAACATCTTGATTTTCCAATCTTGTTATTAGCTCTTAATCAAGGTAAAGCAGTAATTGGTAAAGGAATTAGAGATTTTGATGATTAGTTTTTGATTTGTGTCCTTTGGATGTTAAATGGGTAGATACAGATGGAAGGATTGTATTTCGAGTCGAAGCAAGTACGCATGGTGAGAATTCTCCTCACTATGCCATGAGCCATAGTACAAGCTATCTGTACTGCAATGTATTGACCAAAAAATGACCCCCTAAGTCATGAAATTGTAGTGAATTTCAAAAGGAAAAATAAAAAACACATGAAAAGGAGAAGAGAGGAAGCTAAGGTTGGCTAGGGCAAGAGGTTTCAAAGCATTGGAAGGCATTTTTGATCAGTAAATTATCAGGTAAGCTACGTATAACCCTTACCTTTCTACCAAAATTTCTCTAAATATGAGTTATAGAGAAATTAAATTGAAAAAATTTAAGGGATTTAATTCTTAATCAATAATAATAAAAAAGATTCACAAGAGTTAAATTAAAGCTTTATGACTAGTTTAGAGCTAAACGATAGAGCTTTAAACTTATAGGCTCTATTTGGCACTAATTCAAAGGGAAACAAGGGTGAAAATCGTGTATAAGTGAAATGGGATTTGTTAAGGTGATGTAAAGTGATAAT